GGTATACAATAAAGAAAATAAGATATGGAAACGAATAATGTAAATGATTTAGAGAGTATTATTAAAAATAATTAGAATAAAAAATTTATTATGAAGTTTTCAGCAGTTCAAGACTTTACATTTTCTGATAAAATATTGTACTACGCAATTTTGTGTGATTGAATGTATGCATGCCTCTGGTTATAGGATATTGTTTCACACTTACTGAGTAAGTGAAACTCATTTAAATTCACCGTGGTGTTTTACAGATCAGGAGAATCCAAAGCAAATTTCGGACTAGTGAAGGACAATCAAGAGACTTAAGTCAGACTTTAGAAAAATATGTATTTAAGGGTATTTGTCCTATTTTGGTTAACTCTGTCATTTTGAACCTCTAGTTGTATATAACCTCATGTTATCGTAAATTTTATTACAATGCTCTACAAGGGATGAATAGACATTTTGTATAACATCGCTACATGTATTTATAATTTTCTTGGTTCTACTAGTTATTATGGTGTGCAAACATCCATGCTCACGACAATGGGGTCAGGGCGTCATAGGAAGCAAGGAATGGATGTAGTTTCACTGTTAACAAGTTAATAAGAAAGGAAAAGATTTTGGTGAATGGTTACTTTCTATACAAGAGGGCGGAAAAGACTTTTGACCATATTTTGTTGTAGTGTCCCCTAACGCATAATTATGGAGTATGGTGTATGAGTTGTTTGGGATTAACTGGGTAATGGCAGGTAATGTGAGGCAAGAGTTATAAGCATAGTTGACCGTTAATGGTTTGGAAAAAATATTTGGGTCTCATTTCCCTTACAATCTTTTCGGTGGTATAAAAAGAAATAAATAGAAGAGGTTTTGAAGGGTGGAAGAGGATTTTGATAAGATTAGAGCTATCTATTTCAAGCCCTAGGTTTTTCAGTCAAGAGTCACCCTTTGTACTCTACGTAGAATTTAGGAAACCTTATTGATAACTTGATTGATATGTAAATATTTTTTATATATAAGTTGACACCCTCTTGGTACTTATAATTAATTATACACACTACAATTTTTATTTCAAAAGAAAAAATACAAGCATAATGTCAACTACACAACCGGAGTCGTGATACAACAAATGTTCAAAGTTACAATAGGCATCGCAAATATATATTTTTTGGATAAAGTGGAAATGTATTCAAACAACAGCTAATAGTGACCATCCATAAACTTCGAGTTAGATTTAACCTCTAAGAATAGCAAAATTATCTGGATTGTGAGATTTGTCATTCGATTCATCCCTTCTTGCCACAGCAAGATCAGTACAACTTTTAGCTTCGGAAATGCATGCAGATAATAGTCCACCAGGCAATTCAAATGAGGCTGCATCTGCACATATGCTTTCCTGTATTGTTTATGTACGACTACAGGAGTCAGCAATCTTGTGTAATGCAAAAAATAATTGAATAAACCAAAATTTTCTTGGGTATCAGCTAGTTATTTCTGACAACAAACAGCCAAAAGAAGATTGAAGATACAAAATCAGAACAGACATTTAGCTATTTGAGAAATAAAATAATTTTAAACCTTAGACTTGCAATTTTTCAATTTTTCCTCACCAGATTGTGAGCCTCATCAAATATCAGTACACTGTTGTTCCAGTCAAGACTCAGAGTTTTTCTATACCACGATCAATGAGATAATTATAAGGTGCAAACAAAATATCAACAACCTTATGGAGCTCTCGAGAAACGTAATAAGGGCACCTATAAGAAAGAAGTGTAGAGTAAATATGGCAGCTCAACATTAACCCTGCTACCAAGTGCTGCAGAGCTATTCAAATAAGAAATACACAGTAATCATTTAACATAAATTACATAGAAGTCTTTAAGTTTTGATTATAAAACTGCATTTATAATTCACAAAAAATTATAAACTACTCTTTTCATAATTTTACTGTTGCAAAAATTAAAACAAAAACTATAATAAGTTCCTATACACGTTGTGCTCTTCTTATACTATTACATGTGTTTTCTTTATTATTTTACTTAAAGTTTCTTTTATTTTCTAAAGCAGGATTACTTATTTTATTATCAATTTTTTATTGTTTAACAACAACCTGACTCTCACATGATATATATTAAACCATCATTTCTCTTACTAAGAAACTGGATTTAATTGGCAGAATATATTTTTTATAGAATGAACAAATTCTTATTTTTTTTAAAAACTGACCAAATTGCAATAATACCTAAACCTTAAAGGGTTTCTGTGCTATGTAACCCAATATTGTTTAAATATAAAAAAGAAGGAAAATGATAATATCAGAACTTACGGCCCAAATCTTCTTCCAATATTGACCAAATCCTCAATGTCAATAGGTTCATCTCCAAGAT